AAAAAAAAAAATCAAAACAAAACTCAAAACAAAAACAAAAACAAAAAAAAGAGATTGGAGCAAAAGAGAAACGAGCAAAAGTCACGGTTCCGACACGTTGATCGCTAGTCTCCAGACGCTCCTATCCACCACTAAATCCTTGGAGATATTCCAATTTTTAAAGTCTCTCTGGACCGACTCTTCCCATGTGAGTTTAGGCCGACCTCTACCTCTCTTAACATCATCGGCCCGCTGTAGAACCCCCTACGCACCGGTGTATCAAGATACCTCCGTTGGACATGTCCGAACCACCTCAGCCGATGTTGAACCAATTTTTCCTCAATTGAAGCCACCCCGACCCTATCTCGAATTTCCTCATTCCTGATTTTATCCCTTCTTGTGTGCCTGCAAAACCAACGCAACATCCGCATCTCTGCTACACTTAGTTGTTGAACATGTTGCTTTTTTGTAGGCCAACATTTACCACCGTATAGTATCGCCGGACGAATCGCCGTCCTATAGAACTTACCTGTTAGCTTCTATGCCTAACATTTTCATCAATGCCGTCATCCTTTTGAATTACATGTCTAATGAGATAAAATCGTCAAAAAAAGATGAAACAGTTATGGCCCGGGGCTGCTTGATAAATTTAGTCGAAAAGTTAGCGTATATTTTATAAACATTTTTCAAGTTTATAGTTCTTAGTTTATTGTTATGCTGAAAAGTAAGCACATATAATACAAAAAAAAAATATTTGATAAAATTAACAATAAATCATATGAAATAATTTTTTTAATAATTCGTTTAATATTACAACAAAACTTGTGCGAATTGACTAGTTTTTTAAAATAACTTATGGAATTAAACTAAACTTATATAAATAAAAAAACTATAAAATAGTTTATAGTGTTCAATCATGATATGTATTCAATGGACCCTTAACATAAATGATAAGACTAGTTTTAGGCAAACTTTTTTACAAAAGAAAAAATATTGAATGTTTTTAAATTTAACTAGTATGGTACCCGTGCGCAGCACGACGCGGTCATTTCTTCAAACCTTTTTTTTTATAAAAATTTATTTTAAATATTTTTTTATAAATTAATAATTTAGTTACAATGGAAACAGGATAGAGGAATACAAAATATAAACAAAAATCATAAATTATTAAAAGCTTCTCTATACACAACATTATTGGTTTGATTTTTTTTAAAACCTTCTTCTCCACAAATTAAAATTTTCAGACCCTTTCTGTTAGTAACATGGGAGACAACGACGGTCATGACTAAAAACTGGGTTCTTTAAGAATAAGCCAACATGCGATAATGATTGACCTTGACTCTTGTTTATAGTCATTGCGTACGGAACCATAATGGGGAACTGCCTTCTTTGAAATTTGAATGGTACTCTAACATCAGAAGGAGTTATTTGTCATCCGAGGTATCAAAACTTTATCACCTGCATGATCGCCAGTAAGAATTTTACACTCGAGAACATGATTGGAGAGTTTAGTCACAACCAATCGTGTACCATTGCAGAGTCCCATTGAGTGATCATGTTCCGCAACAACATAACTGGAGCTCCGACCTTCAAATTCAATTCATGCTTCGGCGTTCCAGAACAGTTGATAGTGTTCAAGAACTCAGGAGTATGCAGTTGTGCTAGAAAGTCGGTATTGGAGTCGAATTTACACGTACTGTCTGAACTTAGATACGTGCGTCCCCCAGTCAAATTTAACGACGACATGTATTCATTAATATATTCTATGATATCGAGTGTTGGCGCAAGTATAGCTCTATCCTTCAAGTAACTTGGATCGTCGGCTACATTCTTGAACATCGGAAACATACTTTCAACAATTTTGGCAATTAGATCATCAGATGACTCTAGTAATAGATCATCTGGTATGTCTATCGGAGAACATCCATCATTTGTACCCCCTAATGTTCCATCTCCAATGCTCGCTATCCAATCAGCAAAAGCATTCAGCTCGTCACGTTCATTCGAATCGCCAATGCTCTAAAGACGCATATTCTTTGTAAGCCTAAGCACAGTACATTTTCCCCAAATGCTACCGGAAGGATTTGTCGAAAGTCTCCACCAAACACAACAATCTTGCCTCCGAACTGTTTATAATGATTTGTTGGGTCGAGGGCTCCCATTACTGCCTTAAAAGATGCTTGAACAGCTTCAAAACAATGCTTATGCATCATTGGGGCCTCATCCCATATGATCAATGAAGAGCGAATAATCAACTCGGCAAGGAGGCTAGCCTGATTGATCTCACACGATGAATTTTCGTGCACAGAAATAGGAATGACAAATCGAGAATGTGCAGTTCGTCCGCCCGACAACAGGAGAGATGCTATTCCACTTGATGCAACATAAAGCACAATTTGACCGTGCGATCTTAGCCGAGCAGCTAAAGTCCTCCACAGGTATGTCTTTCCAGTTCTACCATAACCATACACAAAAAACACGCCGCCCTGCCAGAATGAACAGATGCCATTATTTTGGAATAAACACCCTTCTGTTCATCGGTCATATGTGTCAGCAATGCATCATGCTCAATAGCTAGAGCCTTACGGTCATAGTTAAGTACATCCAAAACCAGACGGTTCGCACTTGAATTAATACTACCCATATCTGGAAAAGGCATAGTAGAATAGTCCTTTATTCCAAACCCAACCAAATTCAACCCAACATAATATTTATTTTATATTTATTTATATATATATATATTGAATATTATCTACAATAATTTTTTTTATTGTTTTAGTTGTGATATGATAAAATAAAATATATGATAAAATTGATAAGTTACGATTAAGAAAAAAGAGTGAAAAGATAGAAATTGTAATTATGTTCCAAAATATATCAAGAGTGGTCTCTATTTATAGAGAATGAAAAATAAATTTTTATTTATTTTTTTCATATAAATTAATATCAATAATTTGAGTTACAATTATGTTATTATAGAAAAATTTATAGACCAATAAGAATGAGACACTTGTCCCATTTCACTCATCTCTTTTCTCTCTCCCTCCTTGTGGCTAGGTTGCGATCCAGGGTCACAATTTGAACTGGGTCACGGATTTTGCTATTTTTTTTATTCTTTTATTAATTTTTAGTTGGTGACTTAATAAAGATAGTATAATATTTATTTTATTTTTATTTATTTATTTAATAAATATTATCTACATTACATTGTTTGGTATTGGTTTATCTACAACCTAACCCAACATAATAATTTCAATTGTGTTCCAAAACATATAAAGAGTGGTCTCTATTTATAGAGTATGAAAAAATACGAATTGTGATATTTTTTATTTTATTTTTTAAAATAAAATAATATCAATAATTTGAGTTATACTTATCTTATCGTATAAAATTTATAGTGGACCAATAAAAATAGGACAAGTGTCCCATTCATATTGCATGAAAGTTAGATAATATGGAATCTCCAAAAAATCTGCATGTAATCTTTTTATATTTTTTTTCAAAATTTTCAAAATTGGTTGAATGACGCTCAGATTTTAATTTTTTGCCAAAAATCTTTGTTTCATTATATTGACTTTAGGCGGGAAATGAATTCTTTTTTTTTTTTGCTTATTTTTTTGAATCTTTTTTCAAATAAATGCCTCCCCTCTTTATATGTTAATAGATGATCATATTCTACAAAAATTAGACAAATATATGGTATTTCATTTATTAGTAACTATTTTTATTAAAATAAATAATTAAAAAAAAGAATATGACAAAATTGTCACTTATCCAAAAATATGTGAAATCTCAACAAAAAAAAAGAGTTGGCTTGACAGTGGCATTTCCGTAATATAGTTTCAACTCTGAGCCTTATAATTAAACTCCCCACGTTTTATAACCCGACAACCGTCCAACTTCCTTATATTATCCTCTGACACCCTCACCGGACTCTGTCACCGCCCCTTTCTCTTATTCACTCTTTTCCCTTTTCGGTTTTCACACACACACTGTTACCTTCTTCAATCCTGCAACAATGGCGTTATTCGGGCCTCTCATATGGCTCTGCGCACTAGCCTTCCTCCTTCACTCACGCGCCCTCGCGGTCCCCGCCGCAAAAACCTACATCGTCCACATGAACCCCTACCAGAAGCCCGCCGCCTACGCCACACACGGCGACTGGTACGCCGACCACCTCCAGGCTCTCTCCTCCGCCGCCCCTGATTCCCTCCTCTACACCTACGACGCCGCATACCACGGCTTCGCCGCCGCCCTCACGCCGGAGGAGGCCGAGTCCTTGCGCCGGTCGGAAGCCGTGCTCGGGGTGTACGAGGACTCGGTGTACACCCTCCACACCACGCGCACGCCGGAGTTTCTCGGGCTGGAGACCGGGCTCGGTCCGTGGGCCGGGCACAGCCTTCAGGAGTTGAATCAAGCTTCCCAGGACGTGATAATTGGTGTCCTGGATACTGGGGTTTGGCCGGAATCGAGGTCGTTCCACGACGGCGACATGCCCGATGTGCCGGCTCGGTGGCGCGGCGAGTGCGTGGCAGCCCACGACTTCGATCCGAAGATCCACTGCAACAAGAAGCTAATCGGCGCTAGATTCTTCGACAAGGGGTACAGTATGGCCTCGGGGAGGAAGGAGTCGAGGTCCCCCCGCGACGGCGACGGCCACGGCACGCACACGGCGAGCACCGCCGCCGGCGCGGTGGTTCGCAACGCCAGCCTGCTGGGCTACGCAAGCGGGAACGCGCGTGGGATGGCGCCTCATGCCAGGGTAGCGACCTACCGGGTCTGCTGGAAGTCGGGTTGCCTCGGATCCGACATACTCGCCGCCATGGAGCGAGCGATTCTGGACGGCGTTGATGTCCTCTCCATGTCCCTTGGCGGCGGATCTGCGCCGTACTACCGCGATACCATCGCTGTCGGAGCTTTTGCAGCCATGGAGAGAGGGATCTTAGTTTCCTGCTCGGCCGGAAACAGCGGACCCGCGAAGGAATCACTCGCGAACGTCGCGCCGTGGATAATGACTGTCGGCGCCGGCACAATAGATCGGGATTTCCCTGCCTTTGTTACCCTAGGCAACGGGAAAAAATTCACCGGGATGTCGCTGTACAGTGGGAAAGGCATGGGGAGGAGACTAGTGCAGTTGGTCTACAACAAAGGCAGTAACAGGTCCAGCAACCTGTGCCTCGCCGGATCCCTAGATCCGGCCGACGTCCGCGGCAAGGTGGTGGTCTGCGACAGGGGGATCAGCCCGAGGGTGGAGAAGGGCGCGGTGGTGAGGGACGCCGGCGGCGTGGGGATGATTCTGGCGAACACGGCGGAGAGCGGGGAGGAGCTTGTGGCGGACAGTCACCTTCTGCCGGCGGTGGCGGTGGGACGGAGGACGGGGGATCTGATAAGGGAGTACGTCCGGACTGCGGCGGGAAAGCCGACGGCGGTGCTGAGCTTCGGCGGGACGGTGTTGAACGTGAAGCCGTCGCCGGTGGTGGCGGCGTTCAGCTCGAGGGGGCCGAACGTGGTGACGCCGGAGATACTGAAGCCGGACGTGATCGGGCCAGGCGTAAACATCCTGGCGGCGTGGTCGCAGGCGGTGGGGCCCACGGGGCTAGATAAGGACGGCCGGAGGAGCCAGTTCAACATCATCTCTGGTCAGTACTGTAGTGCGCCCCATAACGGCTAATAGATTTTTTCAATTATTTTGCTCACCTGATTATTACTATTTCTTATGTGTGATAAATCTCATAATCATTAATTATATTAAATTAAATGCTTTATGATATGAAATAATTGTCATACATTGTTTGTGTGTGTGTTTTTTTTAACAAATAAATATTTTGAAATGAAATGTTTTATCATGCATTGTTTGTGTTGTTTTTAGATAATAATGACATTTTAGTTTAAAATTGTACATATGTTTTCCACCTTCATACTTTGTAAACCTTCTTTGGAAGTATGTTGACCGGGTCCATTGTTACCTGGTTCAAATAGCTCACTCGAACCGGTTCCAGACCCAGGTCGGCCGAGTCCCAGGTCGACTTGCTGGGCCGGTCTGGGTTGAAAAACAATGGTTAGTGGATATGTTATTGTGCATATTTATTGAAATAAAAATTGATGTGTGGAGTGATTTGAAATTGGTCAAAGAGAGGTGATTTATTATTATTATTAATATTGGTTATGATTATAAAGGTCATGGGAAATGTGTTGCTTTCGCTTTCACAATTCCATAAAGTAAGGGCGAATTCTTTATTCGTGTACCTAAAAGCAAATAACTCTCAATTTTTTGAACCAACCTTGATAGTGTGTTTAACTGTTTATTATTATTATTATTATTATTATTATTATTATTATTATTATTATTATTATTATTATTATTATTATACGCGTGCTTGATTGAGCAAGAATGTGTTGTTGTGGGCTTACTTTTTTTTGCTCCTAAGCCCTAATGTGCCTCTTTTATTGCATATTTACTCCCTTTATTTAAATTTTTCTATATATTCCACGGGTTTGTGTTGTTGGGGGTTATTGGGTCGGACCCACACCAAAAGGATCCTATTCAATCTGAAAACAACAATGAGCTGTAAAGAACATTATCAAAACCACAAGCTAGGTTTCGACCCCACCGATGATTACCCGTGTAGATATGTGTATGTATGTGTTGATCCAACGTTAAAAAAACTCGATGACTGTTTTAGATTGAAATATTCCATAATTTATGTTTTTTTTCTTTTAATTTTTTTTTTTCAATTTTTTTGTGTGCAGGTACATCCATGTCTTGCCCGCACATAAGCGGGCTTGCGGCCCTGCTTAAGGCGGCCCACCCGAGCTGGAGCCCGAGCGCAATCAAGTCAGCACTCATGACCACCGCATACACCCTCGACACCACCAACTCCCCTCTACGCGACGCGGCCGATTTCTCCATCTCGACCCCGCACGCTCACGGATCGGGCCACGTGGACCCGGGCCGGGCCCTCTCTCCGGGCCTCGTGTACGACGCCACCCCGGAAGACTACGTGGACTTCCTCTGCTCCCTCGGCTACAGGCCCGAGATGGTCCAGCTCGTGGCCCGTCGCCCCAATGTCACTTGCGCACGGTCCAAGTCCCGGAGCCCGGCCCAGCTCAACTACCCCTCTTTCTCCGTGCTGTTTGGGAAGTCCCGGGTCGTGCGTTTGACCAGGGAGCTGACCAACGTGGGGCCCGCCGGATCGGTCTACACGGTTTCGTTCGAGGCTCCGGTTGGCGTGGGCTTGAGCGTGAGACCCACGAGGCTTGTTTTCAAGAATGTCGGCGACAAGCAGAGGTACACGGTCACGTTTGTGTCGAGAAATGTTTCAGGGAAAGGGTTCGTTAAGGATGCGTTTGGTTCGATTTCTTGGAAGAATGCGGAGCATACGGTGAGGAGCCCGGTTTCGTACTCGTGGACTGGGCTTTGAGATCTGATTTTATGCAGCCACCGTTGTTTACAGCTAGGGAGAACCTAAACCTAAATGGCTAATCACCTTCACATCTTGAGGAGTATTGAACTTTTTTATCTGGTGTGCTTAGTGAAGTTTTTAATGTATTGGGACTGGTCATATCATGCCATGCTCAAGTTTTATATGGCCTACTTGCTTTGTTTTTCTATAAAATGGGAATTTTAACTGAATTTGGGGTGGCACAAATGCCTAATTATTTCTCAAATATTCATTTTTTTCCCCATTTTCTTGGAAGAAATTGTGTGTTGAGAATTGTTTAAGACTATTCTCTGTCATCTTCTCCAACATAATCTTATTATCACTAATTCACTCTCCTCAAAAGCTCAATAGAAATCAAGAAAGTAAAAAAAATGGGCAAATGAATTGATCCAAGCACATCATTTAACATTAATAACACAAGTAGCAAGGGTAGCAACAGCTTTTATGACAACAAGAACATGTATTTTTCAACCTAAAACATTTCATACAGCTTGTGCAAGAGCAAGTCGGGCAAGACGGGCAATTTGGTGCCGAGCAGCAGCTGCAAAAGTCGATTCTGTACTTGTATGTGTTGCGGCATTTGCTATCACAACACGGGAAAAAACAACACTCGGGCATCCAGTATATATTGCATTCACAGAAATTTGGCTTTTTCAGACAAGACGGGCAACTACAACAGCAAATCCATGAAACCTTGAAACACGATAATTTTCCCCTGCAAAAGAATAACAGACGAGCCATTGCTAGATAACACAAGTTCTTGGATGGACTAACAAATTTATACAACGGTTTCAGTTTGAATTACTGCAAATAAGATGGATTTAAAACCTCCAAAATGATTCTTAAACGATAGCCTGCAAGGATCTCAATGATACCACCGAACAAAAGCCTCAACGAGTATATCAAGATTTGAAATCCTTATAACATCATGTCCATTGACGCAAATGAAACATAAGAGAATTGCATGTTTGTATATTCAATGAAGGGATCGAACTAAGATACGAAAAATATTGTTGCCCTTGAAGAAACGTCTTAAATTTTGAATATATTGCATCTTAGCTTGACTTATAAAAACCCCATGGATACAGAGGAGGTTGGTACCAGAGCCATTTCCAGAACCGGCATGATCTGCGGGTTTTCTTGGTTCTGCTACGAATAAAAAA